AGAAGATTTTTGAAATTTTAGTCAATTTGACCCTTTTTGGCCCCGCCCCTCAGGCCCCTGGGGGCTTAGGACTAAACCGGCAACTATTTTTGTTGACCTTTGTCCATGGAAGGTCCCTGCAAAATTTCATTGAAATTGGTTCAGGGGTTTTGGAGAAGAAGTCGAAAATGTAAATTGTTTACGGACGCACGACGGACGACGGACGACGGACGACGACGGACAAAAGGCGATCGCAATAGGTCACTTGAGACTTTGTCTCAGGTGACCTAAAAATCAAGACTACACTGGTTTCAGTATAGAATTGTTCATCATATTTTGACAACAAATTCATCCATGTTTAAAGTAGGATTAGTGACAAGTCCACTCTGTACACTTTGTAATTTAGAACAAGAAACAATCATTCATATTTTGTGGGAATGTAGAGAAGTACAGAGATTTTTACAAAGTTTTGAAATATTGTTAGATGCACTTTTTATCCCATTTTCATTTAAAAAAGTTAAGTTTTCTTTTTGGATTATTGGTACCAAATGAGAATATGACAAATAATAGAATTGACAATGACATTTTAATTATCATTAAGTTTTATATTTATAGGACATCAAACGTTGAGCCCAAATGATTAACACGATTAAACATTATAATGTTCAAAAATGTACTGTAAACAGTCAAAGTGATTCTGCACAGGATAGATTTGAGAAAGAATGGATAAAATGGATAAAATATTAGACTATGCAGAAGTGTAATTTTAATAATAACAAGGTAAAAACAGCTTTTAATATTTTCCATGTTCTCCGTCTTTCCTCGATTCCTGGATATTTTTTTTAATTAACTTATTTTACTGGCCCAGATATCACTCTCTCTCTCCTATTTTGCTTTCTTTCTCCCCCCCCCCCTATTTTCTTCTTATATCGACCCTATGAATCTTTTTTGTCTCTCGTGTGTGTGTGTGTGTGTAAGATTGACTGTATGTTTTAGTATATAAATGATATACTATGTGAAGTATATTGTTTTAGGCAGAGCATGGGTGTGATAGATCATCTACTATGATGATGATGATGATGAGGTTTGTAACTATGCATAGATATAGATGATGATGATGATGATGATGATAATGATGATGATTATGATGTTTGTAACTATGCATAGATATAGATGATGATGATGTTTGTAACTATGCATAGATATAGATGATGATGATGATGATGATGTTTGACATTATACATAGAGGATGATGATGTAGGAGATGCTGATCATGTAACGATAATGATGATGGTGACGGTGATTATGATGATGATGTTGATGTTCGTTATTGTGTATAGATTTTATTATGATGCTGGTAAAAGTGTATAGGTGATATAATGATGATGATGATGCAACATCGCTTATGTATGACATTGATGATTATGATGATGATGATGATGATGATGATGATGATGATGATGTTTGTCACTGTTTATGGACAATGATGATGATGATTGTATATAGGATGATGATGATGATGTTTGTCAATGTGTATGGAAGATGATGATGATGATGATGATGAGTGTACAGAGGATGATGGTGATGATGATGAGGATGATAAAGACGATGCTTTTCAATGAGTATAAATGATGATGATTGAGAAACGCGTGCTTCTGTCTACAAGTGAGAGTTTGTGTGTAATGTCTGTTTGATGTAGATGTAACAAAAAGTTTGAAGAAAAAAAATAAAAAAAACCCAGCAAAATATCAAATTTAAATAACGTTTGTCAAAGACAACGTTGGACGCCATTGTTGTTCCGCTAGACAAAGCCATTCATCCGATTTACACACCATTTATTTATTGAGATATTTTGTAAAATTGGATTGAATTTTGAGTTTCACAGCTGAAATTGCAGTTAATCTTCTTTGTCTTCGACTTCTATTTTCCTTCCACTAAAAATAATACAGACGGTAACTTTAAAAAGCACAATTTAATATTCATATTTTGTTCGCACACTGGGCATATATCAGCAACGCAGGAAATAAGATTTAATAATCATTCTTTATTTTGTTCATTGATGTATTGAAATTTGCACATAAATCAATCAATCAAAAATGCGATGAGAACAAAATATCACAATGATTTTACATCGACATAAATATATCTTTTGGATAATATATGGGTTTCATAGACTATATAACACAAAAAAACATACTGTTTAGTGTGTACACAGATACACTCATTCTACATTCCGACTACGTACAGGAAAATAATACTTATTTGTACATAAATGGGTATATAATGTTTTTAGTCTGTCCTCATTATCTTGATCAAAATATAGTCAAGATTTTACGCCTTGACTTATATCGGTTCATGTTTCTTTTCGTTCCAAAAGGTGATGAATGAATAGTGTGTACTATGTGTTTCTGTTTTTCCTTTTGTGATGTATATGGATTATGCTTGAATGGTCATATTTATCAATTTCAAGACTTAATTTTTAATCACTATACGAGTTTCACAAGCGTATATTACTTCTACCAGTGACAAATAGCAAGTGTACTATACTTATGTACAGAAATGTGGAGAGACCAGACAGGGCCATACCAAGAATTTTGAAAACGACCAATTGAAGATACGTCTACCAAATCAGCGCAAGAGTTCTTAAAAATTGACTTTGTATTTCAAAAATATGGTGAACCAATTTAAGGTTATTGGTACATTCTATTATACAAATTCTATCTATTTTACATGCGACATATATCCTCCTTTAGTTCTTGATTGATCACTAACATTTTTTTTAAATGCTCAATCTATAAAATCTTAATATCAGCAAGGTGGTCGGCAGGCGCATTGAAACGCACCATAGAACTCACCAAGACCGCTCGGAGCTCGATTCCCCTATCGAACGTAAAAAGGTATTTGGTAATATGCCAGTCCACGTTGGATTTCCCTGTGCACTCTGGTTTCCTCTCACATTAAGACCCATTTCGTGCTTCTATCCTGGCCGACCAAAGTGATTAATACAAGTTTCATAATTTGTTTCAAAATTATTGAAATAAAGTTTACTTTTGATTTAAACAATTGTTATTCATGTTAGTTGTGTGCAAAGGAGATGTAAATTATGGTAAGGTGGTATCCAATCTAAGCTCATATTCCCTGTTAAGTATTGTTTTTAAAACAATACCACATCATTGAATCATAATTCACAAAGGCCACAGAAAATTCTGTAATAATATAGGCACAATATACATACGAAACTAATCTTTGTCAGCATTCATACAATTGCAATACAATTTTAACGGCGATTGACTTTAAACTGGTAAATATATATATTTCAACATGGTCCATATACGTTCTATTCTTCTAGAAACATTTTACTATAGTAGAATAACAACAATGACAGGGTATCGTCGGATTTCTGTTTTCCTTGAAACAATTTCTAAAGCTGCAACTAGTTTGCTTTTAAATAATAATAGGGTATGTTACAATTGTGCACCAACTATAATGTAGCCCTCTACAAGTTGTTTAAGGTTGCCTGTCAATAGCAATCAGTTAATAATTATCGTATACAATAAACACAGAAAACCAGCTATGTGTTTCAGGTTTCAAAAACGCTTCAAATGAAAAGATCATTCGAGAATATATTCAATTTAATCTACTGGTTGATGTTGGCGGAAATATTTTCCCTATTTTCTAGCTGCCACTGAGTAAGTCACGAAATGTCGATTTTCACTTTCTAAATAAACATCAACATTATATATACAATTCACACGACAAGAAATGTTTAACATGGCGGGTATTATATAACATAAAGGCAAACTGTAATCAAATACAACTCTGATCCATTTTCCGAAAAGGAATAGAACTCAATTCAATTATTTTTCAAAATTTGAAGAGAAAAGAAGAGATGTTCCAACAAAGTCACTGTCATTTATTTCTGAAACCTGAAACATATAATTTTGATTATCTTGTGCCCCATTACATAGGAGCTGCTCAGCAAATGGTGTCTTTAGTCATACAAGATGCCTTGCGAGCGCTATGGCTGCCAGTTTGGTCTGCCGAGTGGACAGTATGGCCATTATGCCGCCTGGTTTTATAAAGTCGCAGACAGTACCGAATGAAGAAAGCACGTTTAAAGGTATTCCAAAACTTTTCGCTGAACCAACAGTACAGGATGAAGTTGATTGCAGATTTGAGCGCCAGCATGAAGATGGTGGCATCTGCCACGATCTCCATTGTGAGAGAGCGGAGGATTGTGCGAGAGGTATATTGATGGATGTTTCTGTACGCCATCGTTATAACATAGGGAGCCTGGCAGACGAAGAACACAAAGATGATACTGATCAACATCATTGTGATCTTGAGTTGTTCATTACTTACCGCGTTCTGCATGTTACTGTCTGTTCCCAGGTGATATCTGAGATACTTTGTGGACTTGCGGATTTCTATAATCAGTCTGATATTGAGGAACAGTAAAGCTATAAATGGGAGAATAGCACAAATAATGCAGTCCACTACCCAGGCGTAGGATATCTTGTAAGTTAGATTTTGTCCAAGTTTCGTCAGAACCATATGTCGAAACTCTGGATAACCCGGGCAAGGTGTCACCGTTTTTATTTCCTGTTCAAAGAAGTTTGGAACGCGGCAATAAAAGGAGAATACAAATATAACGACGATGATTATCCGAGCCCGACGCACTGTACATATTGATATAGCTCTCAGCGGATGGCAAATCGCTATGTAACGTTCTATGGCAAGCATAACAGTTAACCATACAGAGGCCAGAAGGAATGTGTGCAGAAATATTTGAGCGTAGGTGAAATATATATCGAACACATGGAACGGGTAACCAGTTATGCGATACTCCAGGAACTTTGTCGACAGTATGACAAGGAATCCGAGGTCTGCGATGGACAAGGATGTCAGATAGCAGTTGGTTGAAGTACACATGTTCTTTCGACTGAGCACCATGACTGTGAGAATGATTCCTACGATACCACTCACACAGATGATTGGTAGAAGCACCTTGAATAGAAGGTTGTAGCTGGGACTACTCCTCAACATAGAGGAGGTAGTGCCATTTTTATAATCAGGAGAGAACATGCATGGTAGCTCGTCATAGTCATACTGCCAGTACACGTCGTAGAAGTACGAGTTGTTAAATGTCAGGTTGAAGGTGCCATTTGCTCGGATAATGGTTTTCTCCATGGCTGGTGGTGATCTGGGTATATCCCTTTTAGGGGCACCGGCTGCGGAAACTCAAGACGAGACTATTTCTTGTTTACTGAGACGTTCCGGTTCCTGCCTACATCTCCACGACAAACCTACAACCAGAAATGACATGACAGTTAGGATAAACATGTTAAGTAACTTGAACTTTAAAAAGATCAATTCATTGAATGAGACACACGTAGCTATACTCTTTGGTAGAAAGCTTGGTACTTACGAACGTTTGTTGGTTACGTTTTAGGATTTTAGGAATGAATAATTGTCAATTTGTACGGATATGGTTTCTTGTGTGTTGGTTGTTGTAGTCTAGGAGTTTGTGCTTTATTTCCAAACTAGGAGTGTGAATTGACGGGTGTGGGTGTTGATTAGTTGAAACCAAGATGAACTCTAGCTAGAAATGTTTTTGTTGGTAACAACTTAAGAGTGTGAATTGATGGGCTGTTGTCATAAGTAAAAGTATTTATGGACTCTAGAAACGTTTGTGTTGGAACATCCTAGGAGAGTGAATTGATGGGATGTTGTTGTTATAAGTAGAGGTCTATATGAACTCTAGAAACGTTTGTGTTGGTAACAACCTAGGAGTGTGATTTTATGGGCTGTTGTTGTCATAAGTAGAAGTCTATATGCACTCTAGAAACGTTTGTGTTGGAACAACCTAGGAGAGTGAATTGATGGGATGTTGTTGTTAATAAGTATAAGTCTATATGGACTCTAGAAACGTTTGTGTTGGAACAACCTAGGAGAGTGAATTGATGGGATGTTGTTGTCATAAGTAGAAGTCTATATGAACTCTAGAAACGTTTGTGTTGGAAACAAACTAGGAGTGTGAATTGATGGGATGTTGTTGTTATAAGTATACGTCTATATAAACTCTAATTTGTTTGTGTTGGTAACAACCTAGGAGTGTGAATTGATGGGATGTTGTTGTCATAAGTAGAAGTCTATATGGACTCTAGAAACGTTTGTGTTGGAACAACCTAGGAGTGTGAATTGATGGGATCTTGTTGTTATAAGTAGAAGTATATATGAACTCTAGAAATGTTTGTGTTGGTAACAAACTAGGGGTGTGAATTGATGGGATGACAAAGTTTTAATTAGAAGTCTATATGAACTCTAATTTGTTTGTGTTGGTAACAACCTAGGAGTGTGAATTGATGGGATCTTGTTGTTATAAGTAGAAGTATATATGAACTCTAGAAATGTTTGTGTTGGTAACAAACTAGGAATGTGAATTGATGGGATGTTGTTGTTATAAGTAGAAGTCTATATGAACTCTAATTTGTTTGTGTTGGTAACAAACTAGGAGTGTAAATTGATGGGATGTTGTTGTTATAAGTAGAAGTCTATATGAGTTGGTAACAACCTAGGAGAGTGAATTGATGGGCTGTGGTGCTGATTAAATGGAGTCTAGATGAACTCAAGAACTGTTGGTCAAGTGATTTGAAATGTAGAAAGACGAAATGGTTCGTTGTACGTTTAGCAAGTTAGAATGATGCTTCTCCTTAATATTTGTAAGAACATTTAACTATAGTCACTGCTCTGGTGCACTGTTTTGCCCCAAGAGGAAATTCAATTTACCTCTCTCAACCATGTGACCAAACAAGCCCATCCTAAGGAGACAGGGTGTGGGTGTGGGTGTGTGTGGGGGACCTAAAAAGGCTAGTTAAATATAAATGAATGGCAAGACACTAGACGGTTCAATGGGGGTACAACTTATTTCTCAATCATCAAGTGAATAGTTTATGACTATTTACAGGGAGCCTGATAATTAAGGGGAGGAACTGTAGCTATAGTTTGCCACGCACTATCAAGTGTGACTGATGATGCATGCACCCTCATGTAGCGAGCTAACAATTCACACATGCTTCCATTGACACGTTATCAAAACTAATTCATGATTCCCACCAGTAAAGATAACCCGATCTGCCGCTTGAATAAATGGATAGGTTTATGAAGTGCTGATAGATTTACTAGATTGATGTACACCAGCTCTGCAACGTGCAGATAATTTACACTTTAATGTATATAGATTGCGCCAATGAAGAAAGTTTGCTGATTCTAGGCACCAAAGTACGTGTATATAGGCACTGCCTGTAGGGGGCTAATTCAGATGCATCTCTTCATAATTATACCTACGTAATGTGTACAGATTAAGCTGGGCGTGGTTTAAGTAGGGAAGAATCATACGGTGATTGTGGCGGTTGTTTTACAAAACAAAACTTTATAGTGTGGCGTTTTCAGGCGAAATAAGACGGAGTTGAAAGATAAGATAACAAATAAACATACGAAAGGCAACTACTTGCCTAATGTAAATACCCTTTTCATTGCTTATTTTCATACGAAAAGTTCTATCAGAAGAAGTGTGGCAACATTGCACATTAAAATAACAGAAATAGGGGAAAAAAATGAAAAATGTTCCAAGCTCCTATTAATCTTGACAGGGTTACCTCCCTTATTCCACCAGTAGCCGACTGCTACATAAAGTATACCCCCTTACCGAGTAGGAAGATAAATGTGTCTGAGCAGCATCCTCGGCAAATACATATCAATTGTTAATCTAAGTCTTCCTGTTATCCAGTGTTAAGATGCACTCTCATTTCACACAATTTGATTTTTCAGTGCTTGCATTTTGCCCATCCCTCACACCTTCCCTTGCAGCAAAAATCATGGTATGTCACCAATATCTGCTTTCCTCTCCTTTCCTACGTCCTACCCCATCAGTAGGATTGCCAACCACCTTCACCTACACCATCAACAGGTATCTATGTATTGCCTTCATCTCTTCCCCACACATAACCAGAGGTTGCCTCTCATTTTTCTATACAATTAACAGCCTTAGTCCTCATCCATTTCCAATACAATCACCGCATTAGGCTTCTACTTTTCCTCACGCAATTACACAAAATGTGCAAGAGTTTGTTCTCCTCCATTTCCAATATAATTTCCGGTATTTGTCTGTGTCCTTTTCAAAAACCCTCACCGGGTGTTTCCCTCCCTAATTCTCCACATCACCATTATAGTGACAGTTCTCCAATCTTTTCTCACATGTTCACCCGTGATTTGCCCCCTACCAATCTCCACACCACTATAACCATTTGCTTTTTTTTTCAACATTCACCATTGATTTCCTTTCTACGTTCCTCCACATCATTATCAGTGTTTGTCCTACCTGACCCACATCATTATCAATGTTTGTCCTTCCTTTCCCCACACCATTATCAGTGTTTGGCCTACCTGGCCCACATCATTATCAGTGTTTGGCCTACCTGACCCACATCATTATCAGTGTTTGTCCTACCTGACCAACACCATTACCGTTGTTTGTCCTACCTGTCCCCACATCATTATCAGTGTTTGTCATACCTTTCCCCACACCATTATTAGTGTTTGTCCTTGTTGTCCCCACACTATTATCAGTGTTTGTCCTACCTGTCCCAACACCATTATGAGTGTTTGTCCTTCCTTACCCCACATCCTTATCAATGTTTGCCAAACATGTCCCCACAACATTATCAGTGATTGTCCTACCTTTCCCCACACCATTAGCAGTGTTTGTCCTTCCTTTCCCCACACCATCATCAGTGTCTGTCCTACCTGTCCCAACACCATTATCAGTGTTTGTCCTACCTGTCCCAACACCATTATCAGTGTTTGTCCTACCTGTCCCCACACCATTATCAGTGATTGTCCTACCTGACCAACACCATTACCGTTGTTTGTCCTACCTGTCCCCACATCATTATCAGTGTTTGTCATACCTTTCCCCACACCATTATTAGTGTTTGTCCTTTTTGTCCCCACACTATTATCAGTGTTTGTCCTACCTGTCCCAGCACCATTATGTGTGTTTGTCCTTCCTTACCCCACATCCTTATCAATGTTTGCCAAACATGTCCCCACAACATTATCAGTGTTTGTCCTACCTGTCCCCACACCATTATCAGTGATTGTCCTACCTGACCAACACCATTACCGTTGTTTGTACTACCTTTCCCAACACCATTATCAGTTTTTGCCCTACCTGTCCCCACACCATTATCAGTGATTGTCCTACCTGTCCTCACAACATTATCAGTTTTTGCCCTACCTGTCCCCACACCATTATCAGTGTTTGCCCTACCTGTCCTCACATCATTATCAGTGTTTGCCCTACATGTCCCCACACCATTATTAGTGTTTGTCCTACCTTACCCAAACCATCATCAGTGTTTGTCCTACCTTACCTACACCATTATATGTGTTTGTCATACCTTACTCCACACCATAATCAGTAATTGCTCTTCCTTTCCTTACACCATTACCGGTGATTGTCCTACCTTACCCCACACCATTACCAGTGATTGTCCTACGTTTCCCCACACCATTATCAGTGTTTGTCCTACCTTTCCCCACACCATTATCAGTGTTTGTCCTTCCTTTCCCCACACCATTATCAGTGCTTGTCCTACCTGTCCCCACACCATAATCAGTTTTTGCCCTACATGTCTCCAAACCATCATCAGTGTTTGTCCTACCTTACCCAACACCATTATCAGTGTTTGTCCTACGTTACCCCACACCATTATCAGTGTTTGTCCTACCTTTCCCCACACCATTATCAGTGCTTGTCCTACCTGTCCCCACACCATAATCAGTTTTTGCCCTACATGTCCCCACACCATTATTAGTGTTTGTCCTACCTTACCCCACACCATTATCAGTGTTTGTCCTTCCTTTCCCCACCCCATTATCAGTGTTTGTTCTTCCTTTCCTCACACCATTATTAGTGATTGTCCTACGTTACCCCACACCATTATTAGTGTTTGTCCTACCTTACCCCACACCATTATCAGTGTTTGTCTTACCTTACCCCACATCATTATCAGTGTTTGTCCTTCCTGTCCTCACACCATAATCAGTGTTTGTCCTTCTTGTCCCCACACCATTATCAGTGTTTGTCCTTCCTTTCCCCACACCATTATCAGTGTTTGTTCTTCCTTTCCTCACACCATTATTAGTGATTGTCCTACGTTACCCCACACCATTATCAGTGTTTGTCCTACCTTACCCCACACCATTATCAGTGTTTGTCCTACCTTTCCCAACACCATTATCA